TTTGTACTGTACTCTATTAATGTGTTGGTATTGGATCTCATCATAAAAAGAAAGATGTCCAGTATCGGAACTAACGTTTAGGTCAATATGAGTTCTGCATAGTTTAAAACCTTAAGGGTTTATAATTATTTCTGTATTTTGAAGCATTCTGTATTAAAAATAACAGTTCACAGCTGCAGTTATTTATATGGAAAGTGATGAGAAGTCTTGGGGCATATCTGACCAGCTGCTCAGAGTCTACAAAAACGGATTAGCATATAAATTGAATAAATAAACAACTTATATTAAATATGGCAGTTCTAATCAGTGCAAGACAGGAAAATGGATTAAAGAAAACCACAGCTTGTTGCATATGTGAAATAAAAATACTACACAGCGTTTGTGTATGTGAATGAATGCTTATTTGGAAGAAAAAAAATCAATGAACATTCTAAGAAAGCTTGTTTATGGCTGCACTCTAAGAAAATTAATGAATTGAATATTTAGCTAGTTAGTCCTTAGATTGCTTGGCTTACAGTAATAACTTTAATGATACATTCTATTGAAAAAAATGTGTATCTGTGTAAATGTGTAAATACTGCATCTTTTTGTATAACATTTCTATTATAGTTTTTAGGAAAGTGGTTACAGATATTTTAAAAAAACCTTTTTTTTTAAAGGATACTCTTGGGAGACCACCTGCAACAGAAGTTCCACTAGTAGACCATTGTAAATTCAAGTATGTATTTGATTCAATCTTGGTAAATATCTGAATACATGTCAGTTCAGTATAAATATCTGAAAGCAATGGAATTGTCATGAAATTCATTGGTACCCGTATCAATACTAGCCTTAGCTCTTAGATTGGCATTGAAGGCCAGGATTCCTATCCAATAACGCTTAGCTGATAGTTCAGTTTTAATTGTTTGCTTGAACTTCATGGTTATGTCCTGATTTTTTTTATAAGTTAGGAACATATAAATGCTATTGGTACTATGCAGATTTAATTTTTCTAAATATTCTATTTGAGTTGTAGTGCTATGAGTTTCTGTCATTCGTGATTTACAGCTGGGTTACTGTAATTCAAGGAATGTATTCCAGGAATCTCTAAGACTCTCTGTATCTCCTGTAGGCTATTCAGCATTAATAAGTAATTGATATGATTAAACTCCTTAGGTTATCTGTAGTTGCTGTGATACCCAGAACCAAAGGAGTTAGTCATCACAGGCCCCTGGGGTGGTAAAGGAAGAATTTTCAGTTATGTTTAGATGATAAAATGATGCCGCTGAGAGACTGGTATTTTAAATGACTTGGCATCTCTTGCAAAGAGCAAAACATTGCTAAGAATAGAAATTGGGAATTCTTTCATTTGGAGACTTTTCATTGTACTGGCAGAATGCAGCCTCTTACTTCTTTTAGCTCCACTGTGGTTGTTAAGAGATTGGTGAACATTTTAGCTGAAATATACATATATGCTCTATGGTATGTTCATTTATTTATATGGGCTCAGTAGGAGCAAGGAGCAAGGATTAAATGAAGAGTGCAGAAGATGCAACAATTTAGACTTTGCATTTACTGCTTCTAGTTTTGGCTTCTGTGGCAATATTTGAATGAAATATTTTTATCATACAGTATTAAGATTATACTATAGATTCACTTTGTAGAAGAGTAAAATAAGTTTATCTTTCTGTAAGGTAAATATAAATATTCTCATTATTGGACAAGAGCCATACTTTAAGACAAGTGTTTGTTTGTTTTTAATATAAGATACCTCTTCAATTTTCGAGGAGTTGCAGCCAGTTTTCGTTTCAAACACCTTTTCCTGTGTGGTTCTTTGATCTTTCATGTTGGAGAAGATTGGCAAGAATTCTTCTATCCACAACTGAAACCTTGGGTTCACTATATCCCAGTTCAATCTGATCTTTCTAATGTGAGGTGAGATGTTAAAACTGCAGTTAAACAGTTAAAACAGTTAGAACTAATTATTTGTTTAAAATATTAATAATACAAAACTATTTAGGATTATGCATCATATTTGACAAAATCTTCAATAATGAGGCAGAGATAGCTGAATTAAAATCTATGCACTACCTTCAAAGATAGATTCATACAGAATGCATTCCATGGTTTAGGCTGGATTAAACTGATTTTTATATGATTGAGACTAGATGAAATCTATTTTTATAGATAGAAGTTTAGTTGCTATAAAAGGGATTTCCAGTTAAAGGTGGTCCTTCATTAACAATGATTGTTTGACAACTGTTTAAACTTAACAACAACACTGAATAAGTGTTAGTTTCAAGTGGTCCTTGGAATGCCACACATCGTGAAATCTCCATGTTTATGTGATTGGGATCTGGGCATCCACTCAGAATGACGAGATTTAAGCAAGCCCCAGTCACAACTCCCAGTGTTCCCTGCCAGCTTCCCACAAGCAAAGTCAGTGGGGATGCTGGCAATTGATATCCTTGCTTAAAAACTTCACCTTCACAGTTCTTGCTTAGCAATGGCAGCCAGGATGGCCAGAACCAGTCACTAAACTGTACAGTCACATAACATTGCACATTATGACCTTCTTTTATAGTGATGCCAATTCCTATTATTGGCCTAACTATTTTATTCCTGTTTTTAATTTAATTGATTATAATATTTATATAGTTTTAAAGTTTCTATTTGTATGTCACCCAGAGTCATTCTATGAGACATATGGGCAGTTTTAAAATATTGTCTGTATGTGTTTATATAAAATATATAAATCAATTCTGATTTCAATTGCCATCATAAACAATATCTTTTATATCTCCCAGGAAAATGATCTACATTGGTGAAGGTTTTGATAGCTAGATTTGGAACATCAGCATTTTCAGCTTCAGGCACACCTAAATGATTAGAAGTAATCACTAAATATTATGAGACAGAAAAGTTCATAAATCATTTTGACTGGCATGTTTTAAAAACTGATTGGAATAAGGAATTGGCAGTTTACATGTTTAAATAATGAGAAACTGTCTTAATGTCCATATGAAATTTTGATAATGTTTGATATTTAGGTTAATTTAAAAATGTTTAATAAAACTATGGCTTAATAAAAAAAACATTTCAGACTTGTTGCATAGGAAAGAATGAGTAAATCATATTTTTGTTGATCAATTGGGAATAAAGCTATTAAAATGTTTTTACATGCCCTTAATTGGTTGTGCTGGCGCAGTGGTTAGAATACAGTACTGCAGGCTACTTCTCCTGACTGCTTGTAGTTTGGCAGTTCACGTCTCACAGGCTCAAGGTTGACTCAACCTTCCATCCTTCCGAGGTTGGTAAAATGAGGACCCAGATTGTAGTGGCAATATGCTGACTCTGTATACACTTAGAGGGGCTGTAAAGCACTGTAAAGCAGTATATAAGTCTAAGTGTTATTGCTATTGTACTCTGGGAAAATGATTATATTGTACAATAATAAAAAAATTAAGACAAGATTTAATATTTTATACATTTTTAAAAAATTAAATACCCACTGCTTGGAAATAATGGCCAGACAATAAAGCTGGATTCTCTGCTACCTTATTACTGCTAAGACATTTATTTGATTGGTTGGTTGCTTGTTGGTTTTCATAAGTGCCCAATTCTACATGACTCTGACCTTCAAATTGGGATGATAAATTTATGATTCGAATTACTCGGTGGATTGAAGAGCTGGTGTTACTCATGAGTTAGCAATGAGTTGTTATAGGCATAATTATGTATGGATGATTGTAATGAAATATCATCCTTCGCTGAAACTGTTGTATAAAACTGTGTTGTGTTTGTGTGTGAATTCATATACATCACACACACACACACACACACACACACACTTATATAGTTGCTTTGCTTTTTTTCCTTCCTTTTATTTTTGTATTGTACAATTTTATTTTTTTAATTAAAGGCAAAATAAAAAACATATATGCATGGGGCCAAATATCTAAATGGATTGTGATTGATATTTTATTCTTGATGCCCTTCCTTTCTTTTCATTAACACAATTATTTGATTATTTAATTTATATTACATTATTTTTATGTTGTATTTTATTGTATCTTAATGGCTTTATTGAAGGAAGGTTTAGAGTTCTATTGAATTAAAACTCCAAGAAATGAACAAGGACATAAATAGCAAGCTGAAAAAAAGCAAACTAAACACAATCAATTAAATGTAACAGACTTCCCTTTTGCTCGTATTTATTCTGCCTAAAGTCAATCTTAAGAACCTAACATTTTCTGATTTGTATCCAAATGTATGTTTCAGAGAGCTATTGGAATTTGTAAGTGAAAATGATGATGTTGCTCAAAAAATTTCTGAGAGGTAAGCTCTTATTACTACTATGCTTTAATTGTAGGGATTCCTTGGTATAAAATAGATTTGATAATGAAGTCCATAAGACTTTCCCAAGATTATAATGGTAATATAAAAGTTATGATAGTACTGGAGAAAGGGACTTATGCTCAATCCCCAAACTTATGGCCTTTGCAGACTCCTATGATCACACGATCAAAATTCAGGTGCTTCACAATCTGCTTGCACTTACATCTGCAGGGGTGCTTCATTCCCCACCAGCCTATCTCCCCCGTCTATCCATTTTGGCCCCTTTTATTTCAGTCGTTGCCACCCTAGCTGACATCCCCTGTCTTGCTCCTGCTATTGATGAAGCATGCTCTTTCACAAGGCAGTTGCTGACTGCGCACGGCTTTCTTTTCCAAGTCCCGCATCATGCATTTCTTCCAGAGATCAGGGGGAATTGGCCTCCTGTAGGCAGGAGCTGCTTCACAAAGGTTTAGGTCAAAAACCCTTCATCAGCAGCAGGAGCAAGAAGATGGTGAAGATCAGCTAGGGCAGCAGAGCACATGACAGTAGAGCTCAGGGCTGAGCTGACTGAGGCCTCATGGGGCAGTTTCAGTATTGTGCTGCACTGATGGGCCAATCCGGGGATGATTGCTACCTTGGAAGGCAAAGTGTAGGGTGACAAAAAGGGCACAGGTGGTAGAGAATAGGCAGTTGGGGGAAATTAAAGGAGAGGCAATCTCTTA